TCCAACAATCTACCTTTGAGAGACTAACTCAAGAATTAAGTTCCTGAGTAAATCTAATGGCCAAGCCTTTGCTGCATGGACCACGTCGTTGGTAAAACAGGCTATCGTCAGTCAACTAGCTCTAGTCTCAACAGCGTCTATCCTGTTTCTTTCCCTAATACCAAGTCAATGACTTGCTATGCCCTAGTCTCTTGCGTTCCAACCCACAAATGTATTGGTACTGCTTGCTTTGAATGTTAAACCACAACGTTTGTGGGATGGCACAAACGCCAGCGTGGAATGCGGAGGGTTCTCATGAAAGCCACTCAAAAGGACACACAACACTACATGTAAATAAGCAAGAAAAAAAAATTGTGATAGTGAATGCGTGATTCGAGGATATAGGATAGGTGAATAGCCCAGGACAGCAGGAGAGATACAACGAGTGTTTAGTACACATTTGGTCAAAGGATCGGGTGCACTTGTTTCTTTGACGAGTTGTAGTGTGGTGCTGAGAATGGCAATGCATACTGACGGTGCTGGCGAGAGGTCTGGGAATGTAACACGTCCATGGTCCTAGTCTGAAAATGATGATGCATACAATGGACTCCGGACTAGGTACGTTCCTCTAAGTCTTCCTGCCAATATGACCAAGTTGCGAAAACAATGTCAAACAACCTCCCTACAACGAAAGGAGACTGCGACCACACAAAAGGGCACACCATCTTGGTCTTCATATCTTTTAAAAAATAGTGTCGATTTGACCTCGATTTCGCAACTTGATCGAAGCGTCAGAGAGACCTTGTGGAACGAACCTAGTCCTGCGTTTTATGCCATAGTATTCGTGATTTCCTAGCATCGGAACACTAACTTGGCACATTCCCAAACGTTTCGCTGGCATCTCAGTCGGCATCATCTTTCAAAGAAACCTAATTAATAGGAGATTGGATGAGGAAAGATTCGGCAAAGATTACGTGTACTGTCTGGACAGACTTGGAGATTCAGCGAAGGCATCAAAAAGAAGACGCTTGGATTCAGGACAAATGTTTAACAACAGAGAGAGACATCGCCAACGAGCAGCTCATGAGGGCGATTGCAGTGCGAAGAATTGGCCAAAAATGTACCTAGTGTGGGGGGGTCCATCAGAGATATGGGATAGGAAATTAAAGAGTTAAATGTATAGGTGGGCCAGATATATGTCCCCAGTGTGTGTGTCTGCGTGCTGGTGTGCCTTTTTCATTTGTTTGTGCCTTAATGAGGGGCGACTGGTGACATGCTCGACCACAAGGGATACCAAAAACCACACACATATACATCCTAATACCCTAAGAGTAGATGGGACTGTATACTTGAAGGACGAGATGAGTGTGCCTTTCGAGATTTAGGGCAAAAAAATGGAAGCGGTGCATTTTCGCACCAGTTGCCGACTTAACCTAGACACAGGTTCTGAATGAATGATACATCATGTGAGATGAGAAAGAGGATAATAAAGTCATGGGTGTAGAGCCTAGGGAGAGGAAGATTACAAGGCACTGGCATGAGCACCATACGCTCTAAATCTTCGAATACGGCGTGATCGGGGACGGGAATTAAAGTCGCTAAGGCAACGAGATTTCAGACAGTCAGACAGTGATTTTTATGTCTAGCAGTAAGCAAGTGATAAGTGGGGTAGGAAAGAGGTGGGGCTGAATGAAGGTCAGAAGCCCTGCAAACGGAACCTGGTACGGGTGGTTGAGATAATTGCGCTTCACTAAACCCACTTGTAGCCGCACACCCTTCGGCCACATTGGAGGAAAGGAGAGCACACAGTTGTGTCAATAAGTAGATGATCCATATGAAGTGGGGTTGAGAGAAAGAGATGCGGCACTAGAGAGTAGAACAAAAAATAGGGGCGAAGAGTGATGCCACAACGGTTGTAACTTTGTACTTACGATGCCGATTGCATTTCCGGCAGAACGTTTGGGAATGTACGAAGTAAATGGTCCGATGTTGGAAATCACGAAAACATTAGCAGAGGACAAGACTTCGTACGTCCCACAAGGTCTCCCTGACGGTCCGACCAAGTTACGAAAACGAGGTCAAACCAACATTACACTGTTAAAGAAGACTGAAACCAAACACCACATCATCTTGGTCTTTATATTTATGACCAGAAAAAATAGTTTTCGTAGATATGAAGATCAAGATATTGTGGCCTCTATTTTGGTTGCAGTCCCCTTTTG